GAATTCTTGAGTGATCTGGGAATCGTAAACCAATGTGTGTATTGCCCGAAATATTGATGCCTTATCATCTTGGTATCCAAACTTCTCAGGAAACTTCTCCATAATGTGCCACGAACACCATCTATGTCTTGTTTTCGGCAAAACGATATGAATTGCATTTTGCATAGCCTTATCTTGATCTATAATTATTCCAAGAAGTGCTTTACCGTGCATACATTGAAGGCATGTTCTGAACAACCACATAAACGTATCTGTGTCTTCTTTCGATACCAAATTACAACCAAGCAGTGTTGATTGTCCGTGATGATTGACGCCAACAAACGGGGCAAAAGGCATGTCATATTTGTTTGTGAGGTAAGTGGTATCAAATGTAACAACATCGCTGAACTCCTTATATGTTTGCCTGCAATGATTATCTGCCCAAAGTACATTTCTTAGCTGCGAATCCTCGTCCAAATCCATGATGAAGTAAAATCCCGAGCAATGTGCTTGCATCTTTGAAAAATATGATTGTATTGTTTCGGCATCTCCTTCTCCAAGTCTTAATCGTATCACTTTTTCAATGTAATTCCGACAATCCTTTTCCATGCAACTCATGTTCTCATATCCACCCGCTTCTACAACTGCAAAATTGTAACTTTTATGCAATGGAATTTCTGCCAAATCATTTACTTGTAGCTTGTGTTTCACATGTGCACTTAACTCTCTGTTGCACCGAAATAACCTCGACTTCGATGGACTAGTTTCATGATTGTGGTCAAAGTAGACCGTGTTAAGTCTCCAATCTCCATATATGCAGATGCTGAGATTCTAGCTTTACAGCCCATCTTAATTGTTGGTTGTGGCTTCAAAGATTCGCTTGTATTACCAACTCTTCGACCTTCACGGCTACATATCTGTGTAACATATCGCAATTCTCCATCGTCTCCCCTCTTCAAGTTTCTTTTCTTAACGGGAAAACAATGGTGTTCGCATATTTTTTGTATATGTCAAACATGTCCTTCAAATCGTTAAATTGCATACCCACTTCAGGTACAATCACACCATCTCCCAATGAGGTTTTACCTTCAACTATGTTAACAGAGTCCATCTCGTTCTCATCATCCTCTTCCACCAAAACATCATCATGCTTGTTTGACACTTCACCCATAATTCCTTCGGCTGCAATAACATAACCAATCACGTTCAGTACTATAGTTAATTTCATCTATTTTCTTATAGATTTGAAATAAACAACTGTGAATATTATTGTGTAATTGTGTAAAAGTTTTACGCTTTACATTCCAACTGTGAATATTCCAATAAAAAACAACCACTACAAATGAAGCATGAGCAAGTAAACCTCTTTAGATACAACAACCCAATCTTACCCTTAAAGGTAGCAAAGTAGTAAATTTTGGAATAATTAACTGTAAGATAAACCCAAAATAATTTCTCTCTCCTTAAAAATTTTAGTTAAGAGCTGTAAATTTTAGTTAAGAGCTTATGAGAAAGTAAACCGCCTGCCATTTTCTGATCATCTTCCACTTATGAGTAAGCACCTAAACTAAAAGTTAACATTTCTTTTCATTCAGCATGACCAAAACATTTGACAGCAATGTAGGCAAAACGTAGTCATAAAAGAAACAAACATCAGAATCTCAACCAGGAAAAAAAAATAGCTTACTACTTAACGGGTAATTTCTCATCTTCGCCGGACTGGTAGCTGGCAAATACTCTTGCACCAAATTGGATTCTAACAAGATCAATTTCTGGAACACAGCTGCATTATTTTCCCGATTCTCAGCTGCCGGAAAGATGTCACGCAAAAATAAATCTTGGCCCAAATTCGATTCAGACAAAAGATTAACTTTCAAGAATTAATTTTATGGAACACTTCTCTAGTTTTTGTCGTTTTCGTAAGTGGTAAAGGAACCCACACTCTCTGCCATATGCTCACGTGAATATCTCACACTCTCTCTCTCACGTGTGATATTTTCCCTCCATTTACTAACCCACACACGTGGGAAATTTTGAAACCCTGTCAATAGGGTGTCATTGAACCTGGGCTACAAGATTAATTAGTGGACCAAAAAGGGCAGTAATTAGAGATAACTTGACTGGTTGGGAAGCAAACAATCCGTATGCAAATTGACAATTGAAAAGTGTTCCAGGTGCGAAAACTAGGTATAAATCAAATGAGTGTATTGAATGAAGACCATTACATGTAGTAGATACGGTTAATGAAGAGGATAAAGATCGTAAATATGTCGGAGATGAGGAAGAAGATGATGAGGAATACACACATGAAGTTTGTAGAAAAAAAAATGAGATTTTGTGTATGTTGTGTAGAAAATCTTATGTTCATCCAAGCGGGGAGAGTTGACTCAGCGTAGGAAGATCTTTTAGGTCAAGTGTTGAGTCAGTAATGCTATTTGCAGTTTGATCATAGACATTTGTAATTGTGAGAATCTGATTGCCAGAAGCTAGTGGATCATTTGAAGTTGCAATCGAACCATATCCAACTCCTTATTAGATTGGTTGAATTAAAAAGGGTTCGTCTATTCAAATGACTCAAATTTGTAAGACACATTTGTCTATGGGGACCTTTTACAAATCAAAAGTTATTTGTGATGTTGAGATTGATACATGTCATATTCTTTGGGGGTAGAACGTGGCAGTTTGATGTAGACTTATAGATGTACAAATTCGCCTTTGATAAATAGATTACGGTTGCACCAATAGGAGGACATGTAAAGCTTTTAAAGTTGAAGGGAAAGCTTTCCGACTAGTGCAATTTCAGCTAGTGAGTTTTCCTGCAATGAGCTTTTGTAGCCGATGACAACTTCGCGTTGAGTTTTTCTGAAGTGGAAGGGAATTATGCGAGAATATTATAAACCAATTGGAAAAGAGAAGAAATAAGAAGGATGTATGAAAACGAGCATAACTTTCAACTTGACTGTCATATTTTTATGAGCAAGTACATTCTGAAAGCATTTTTCAATTCTACAAATTTTTGCAGGGTAACTTTGCTAAACTTTCGAGGTCAAATTTCATCGTTTAGCAGTATGTTTTATCATTTTTAAGTTTTAAGGGCAAGTTCGTCTTTTTTTGCAGTATTTTAATTTTATTCATATTCGCTTTGATTTTTTTAAATTTTATACGAATTATGATTTCGTTTTGATTAGGTTTAGTTCGAATCTTTAAATATTTTGTAAGAGTTTGAAAATTAGACCGCCATTTTTTTATTTTTATTAATAATGACTCAATTTTTCCATTATTTGATGAATTCTAGTATTTCTTATGCCCGTTCGAACGAATTCGAACTGCATTATCAACAATATTATTTTATTATTATTCACGTTTACCTTTGTCCTACTTTGTTGGTAAACAAGGTGACAATATTGGCTGGGCTCACGGTATCACCATGCCAGGTTTAGTAAGTAGCCACAAATATAACATTTAAGAGCTGAACACGAATAGGCAGCACCATATTAACTTTCATTTATCCCCACGTGCCGAATTTTCCTTGGAAACAATTTTCACAGTTAACCTCTCCGAATTTATACTTTGTGAAAATTACAAGAAATGTCCACTTTCACATGGTCATTTGTAAAAATTTCCAAAATTTATTCAAAGTCCCTTTTGCAATACTTTTTTACCAAAAGACCCTTATTAACAATTTATAATTCCACACTATAGACAAAAAATGTACATACAATTAAAAATTTTGTTGGCCAGTAAAATTTTGACACATAACTTGCCACACTTATTTCAAAAGTACACATGTCAAATCACAATAAATAGTATTTTTCTCATTGACACGGGTATTAAATATCGAGAACTACATTTTAAATGTCAAGAACTTTATGAACTGTAGAGAACTCTCATTTGAGAAAATATTATATTAAATGAGTTCGAATTAAATGAACCTCAATAGACTTACATTGGAAATTTTAATTGAAGGTCCAAATTATATATATATATATATATTACATACAAGCAGGGCAGACAAAAGAAAACGAAAAATAGAGAAAAAAAGGTGAAAGAAGAGGACTGCGGCGCTGGTAGTAACGAAAAAAAGAAGAAGAAAAGAAGGGAGAAATAAAGGGGAATAAAGAAAAAGACACACAAAGAAGAGAGAGAAAGAAAAGAAAAGTCAAAGGCAGAAAAAACGTGGAAAGATGATAGAAAAAGGAGAGAAAGAGAGGAGGGAAAAAATAAAAGAAAAGGAAATGAGATTGCAAACACAAAAAATGTTCACATTTCGTTAATTTTTGGTGATATCTTTTCACTTTTACGTATTTTTATTTTTACAATATGAATGACTAATTTTTATATTAGGAAAAACAATGTAGTCGACTTGTGATCCTTTATTTTTTTATTCAAGATTTCTGTAATTTATTTATTTATTTATGTGTTGGTTTTATTATGTGTTTAATGAATTAAATTACCTGATCAATAATTTGATGATCATGTGAGTCTCTTACGAATCGAGAGATGAGTTTAAGATTTATGCCATATAATAAAATTCGGTAAATTAATATAACATGTTCAGATACATATACTAATTATTGTAGTCATAATATGAATTCTTAGAACTAGTGTTTCATTTAATTAAAGTTAATTCACATAGAGATATGAAATTTAATTAGTCCTAAAGTATAGTTTTCGTTAAACAATATCCAAACTCAATTCATTATACTACTTGTTACGATATCGTATACTTACAATATAAAAATCTCAACAAATATTGATTGAAAACAAAATTGACACGACTGTTGAATTACCATTTACAGCGATTTTAATATATAATATTCTACAAAGGAAATGCCAAAAAGTTTACCTCCAGATTCGGATTCCGATACAGATTGTGATTTTTTATGCTATATATTATATATATGAGTTATGACCCAAATACAGAGAGGATCTGATAATCGAGAAAACCGCCAAACCCCCAATTTCCCAATTGGGAATTTGTTCAATTTCTTTCACTTATTTTGTTCTGATTGTGTTTAACAATGGGGCGTAGGAAGTTGGTGATAAAGCGAATCGAGGATAAGAGCGCTAGACAAGTTACGTTTACGAAGAGAAGGAATGGATTGATAAAGAAGGCGAAAGAGCTTGCTGTTCTCTGTGACGTTGATGTTAATGTTATTATCTTCTCCAGCCGTGGAAAGCTCTACCATTACTGTAGCAGCAGTAACAGGTTAGTTGCTCTACTGGGATTTCGAGAGTTGAATTTTTTTGAAATTTTTTGGAATGGATAACCGGATCGTATTGTGAGTTTGATGACATTAATTTGTGCAAGATGAAGTTTTCTGATTGAAGTATTTTCAGCTTAAAATAAGGATTTTTTTTAGAGAAATTAGTAGCTCTCGTTTTGGATTTTTTATACTATTTGCGTTAATACAAAAGTTTCTGCACTAATCAAAGGAAATCAATGCCGAGAAAGGAATTTATTAACTATTATTTTTAAATGTACTATTGTTTATACGAATTGTTTGTTTGTTACAAAAGACCTGCCGGAGAATTTTTGCTGCTTGCCTTTATTACGTGGTTTAGTAGTTTGCTGTCCCGTCATATTTTCTGCCGCGTGCCTATTTGCACTGCCAAATTGTTTTGTGTGTTTCCATGATTTCACCAGTACGTCAATCTTATATTCATACGTAAATATGCATGAACAAAGCCAGAAACCAGTAAAGCTTTCTCTTCTTTCGTCCATTCTTCCAAATGCAGCTGTGGTAGCTGCATGTTATCAACTTTGTCCAGAAAATATTGAAACATGAAATGTAGTTTTTTGGGCAACAGTTCTGTCAGCTTCTCTAACCATCCATCTCGACCATTGAGTTCCATATGCTTTTTTGGACTGGTAGGGTGGAAGATACCTCAATCTTCTGACATACAAATATATAATGAACTAGAAGTTGACTCTTATTCATGTAAGATTTGTCAGCACCTTTGAGGGAGTGAAACTTGGTCATGAGACTAAAATACTACAAGAATTAAGATTTCTGATACAAAATCGATGTTGAAGAAGAAAATGACTGAAGAAACGCTAAATTGTGTAGCGGAGCCAGAAATATACGATAGGGTGGGCTGGAATTTAATTTTTTTTTCAATGAACTCATACCATAAAAGATGCCCTATACCACTCGAATTTTTTTTTCAATGAACTGCAGTATCCTCTTCACCTTCAACCAAATGTGTACTTGTGGCAGATTCACCTACTTTTTTAAAGAAGGAGAACAATTCAAAATTCAAATTTTAAGTTTATAAAATACAAAAATTAGGTATTTAGCTAATTAATAGAAAAAAATTATTATTTAAATATAATAAATTCAATAAATTAATTTATTAAATTTATATTTTACCAATTAAATATAGTAAGGACACAATTATATGCAATATGGTCACAATTATCTAATTAATTAATGAAAAATTAATTTCGGTCACAATTTATCAAATTATTGGTCACCAATTTTTTCTCGATCACAAATCAAAAATTTCATATGTCACAAATTACTTCTCGAACACGAATCAAAATTTCATAGGTCGCATATTATTCATCGAGGTCACAAATAAATTTTTTTATAGATTACAGTTTATTTTATTGGTCACAAATAAAAAAAATTACAGGTCACGATTTATCTATCAGTCACAGATATTCAGATTTTGTGATCACAAATTACTTTCCAAGTCACAAGTTATCAAATTTTAAAGTCCCGGTTTAATACTTGATCACATATAACTGATAAGTGTTCCACACTTGTAATATTTATGTCACTTAATTCATTATTTTGTTATCATTGAGAAAATTTTAGAGTGCTTTTATGTGTGTTGTGATGTGAGTTGGTGAGATTGAAGAAAATAAGCAATAGTGACAATTTTGGAGAAAATGACTAAATTGTAAGAGATTCAAAGTTCGGGAACTAAAGTGCAAATACTTAAAAGTTGTGTCAATCCTCATGATGAAGATTTGAGAGTGTTAAGGGCCAATTGGATGAGGAAAGATGTCAAATGGATCAAATTTAGTCAAAATGTGATCACAAATCAATTTCCAACTGAAAAGTTATGCTCCGAAATTTTAGTCTCATATTGAGACCCATTTTTGGCATAGCAAATGAGCGAATTTGAGAATGATTTTTGAAGCAAAGTTGTATCCCTTTAAGTTAGCTTTTCGACACATTTTGAATCACTTCAATCGGATATCGAAATAAATAGTTATGATAATCGGGCGCCTTGGCACCAATTTATGGGCGCCACAGCGTCCAACTTGCTGAAAATCAGCAGAATAGGCGGCTTCTAGGCGCCATGACCCGAGAAAAGGAAAAAAATGCAATTGTGTCGATCCTCATGATGAAGATTTGAGAATATTAAGGGCCAATTCAATGAGGAAAGATGTCAAATNAAATACCTAATTTGGTAACGAGTTATTTGTGTATCATGGATATGAATAAAATAAATATGCAATTGTTGTAGAGTCTTAAACTAAATTTGAATAACTGAACATTGGGCTTGGGTTGGGAATAAAATTAGTTGGGCCAAAATTAATTTTTGGGCTGAGCTAAAATTTTTAATTTTTTTTTTTTAATTTTACCAATAATTTAGGCTATGTGGGCTGGGCCCCTCCATACGCCTCTGCATGTACGAGTATGGATCATGTTAGGTTCAGTCAGTCTCTTTGAGAGATTGAGACACTCTTATGAACAAGAGAATTTTTATTTTATTTTATTTTATTAATTTAAATTTGCATGAAACATGCCAACCATTTAACTCAGTCATCTCTAATTTACCTAAATAGGTATCGCCGTGTCAACTACTTTTCTTAGCGTGTATTCTTAGAATCATTATTTTTGCTAATTCATCTTAACATAATTTGTACTTTAACAATCTAATTGTAACGATCTGGCCTCTGTGCCCAAGTCATTTTCTTACATACTGTCCAATATGGGAGAACTTAAATCCATCTTAATCCTCTCGGATTTCTACCTCATCCTCAGAATTTGAACTTTTAACATTTTCTTTAAGAATGACTTAAATTTGAATTTTGGTACCAATTGGGCAAGATTTTTGTGACGACTCAATCTTTATGTCCAAACTGTTATATCATACATACTGTCTACTTTGAGTGGATATATGCCCATTTGCCCCCTTATGGATTTCTATCGTGTTTCCCAAAATTCGAACCCAAGACCTTTGTCTAATGAGGGTATCAGGATGTAACTTAAGTCTCTTATTTGACAAAGGTTTTGTTCGAATCTTGGGAGACGCGATAGAAATTTGTGGGGTAAGTGGGTAGATGCCCGCCCAAAGAGGACATTATGTATGATATAACGGTTTGGGCATAAAGGTTGAGTCGTTGCACTAGTACTCAGTGCTACTTAGTAAATCTGAAAAATGTTTTGTAGAATGACATTATAGCCGTATATGTCTTATAGCATTGAAGTCAATTAACCAATCTATTCTAATTATATATATAATGTTTTCTTCATTCCTCTTTCCTTGTTAATAATCAAACATAAATACTTTTCTAATGTGATGATTTGTCTTGTTCGTCTATACGTCTAGTATTTCATATAATTTATTATTGACTTTTCTCATTTTTTTAATATTAAGCCTCTATTTGGCTTCAATTTTTTAAAGCACATTTTTTCTTTAAAATCATTCATTTTATGAGACAACTTTTTAATCGCATATTTTATCAAAATTTACTAAAAATCTGATTTTTTTTTCAAACCAAATAGATGCTAAATGTTGTATAGGAAAGATAAGGCAATTTGGGAGTGCATATTTCAATTTTTTCCTCACTACGGAATTCACCCGCTTTCTCTCGTTCATTCCTACAAGAGATGACCTTTCTCTGTTTGATCAATTATTGGTGTCTAATATTTCTTATCATTTATTAATCCTTTTATCATTTTTCTTATGATTGAATTTGTATAGCAAAAATATGGCAATTTGAGAGTACGTAAATTACTTCAGTTTTGCATCACAAGATTCACCGTTAAGTCTCTTGTTCAAACAAAAAGTTCTACTATTGTTTTGTCCTGGTGCATTTCAAAGCACCAATTTCAACACTTACGTCCCATTTTGAGAAACTCTTTAGATTTCATGTACATACATTCCTCAGATTTAGTTGCTATTTTTCGTTTCTACACCTTCATTATAATAATATAACATCAATTTAGGCTCGTAGGATGTATAATTCTCATCCATGTTCATACATTCCTCGGATTTAGTTGCTATTTTTCGTTTCTACACCTTCATTATAATAATATAACATCAATTTAGGCTCGTAGGATGTATAATTCTCATCCAAAGGGGCTATATGTTTAGGGTCGTTTTTTTTTCCTTTATGCCCCTATTTGGTCGAGATAAAAATCTAATTTTTAGTAGATTTTGATAAATGTTGATGGAATGTATGGTTGAAAAATTGTAGGTACTATGAAATGTGTAGTTAAAATTATTTATTGACTTTGACTTAAATTTTAATCAGATTTTTTAGTGGTACAAATGGGGGCTATATAACTATAGATTTTTTAGCATTTGCTACTATTTGAATTCTTTCAAGGCTAGTTATTTTCACGTATGTTTTAGTTTACTAAAAAATTCGTGGAGTCTCAATTTTATCAATTTGTATTCAGTATGGTGCCAGAATTGATGAGATTTGAATTAAGTTCTTCATTCTCACTCTTTTTGGCTGCATTAGACTGGTATTAGTTTGAGATCATGTCTTTCATGCTATCGAGGAGGCCATTGTCCAATTGTGAATTATGAAGGAAGTTGCTAATGTAATAAATAATTGTAATGACAACTTGAAAATAATATATCATGGGTTTTTTTGAACTTAACGCATGCAAGGTGCATGTGATGGAAAGTAAGGTGATGGTAGAGCAAACATCATTGCGTTCATGGATGGGGTGCTACAAATGCTTTAGAGTCTCTCCATTTTAGATATGATATTGAAATAGTTTGACATGGATCCTTTCGTTTTCCTTAAGTCCTCATTGTGGGCTAGTTTAGGTAAGCCTTGTATCAGTTTACTCATTCTCGATAAAGGGTCCAATATCGAGATTTTTGATCTAGTAGAAGGAAAAGAAGACGCCATTAGGTGCAATATGCACACTAAAGTTGTAGCATGTTGTGTAGAGAATCATGAATAGATATAATTTCAAGAATAGTTTAATATACTTGAAGAACCTTGAG